TTTTTGCCAAATTCAAACTCTCTTTCTATCAATAAAAGTTATATTACTCCAAATAGTCGAACCCTAAAAAATGGATTATGTTGAAATTTCATCAATAAATGTCAAAGGAAAAATTGTATATCCATAAAATCCAGTATATCAAAATCAGATATATTTATCGAAAATCCACGAATATTGACGATATTTTGAACTATGACATGAACAACAAGAAAGCAGAATTTAACATTTTAGGTTATATGTTTACTGCTTCAGATGAGTTTTCATCAAGATTTATAAAAGCTACTAGTGTTGAAAAATGGCTTGGATAACTTGATTCCTTGTTATATTTTTTGTATGGACAAGTAGCTAGTCCATTGATTCAAACGTTGTAGAGAAGATACTTACAAGATAGAAAATAAGTAGAAAAACAAACAATAACGAAGAACTTGAATTTTTGGGATGAAACAATTACTTCCTCTAAGGTTTCTTTATTGATCTTCAATTATTGGAAAATCACAAGAGTGCTTGCTTTACTTGTTCCTTTTAGGATACAAAGTTCTAGCTTGTTTATTCCTCTTGGGATACAAGACCTTTTATAGAATGGTTTTATATGTCATACTCAACTTAAGACTCCTAATATGAGTTGTACATGGATTTCCTACTTTATTACATGGGTTTTTCTACTCTATTATATAGATTTCCTACTTGAAAAAATACACAAAATAAAAGTTTATATGTATTTTAGAGGTTTTGGCCAGCTATGGGCCCAACCAGGACGTGGCCAATTAAGGAAAAGCTCATTTGGAGAAGGCAGTTTATGAACGAGGCTACTGTCTCATTGGATAAACTTAACCAAAGTGGGCAGCCTATCGAAAGAGGCCGTTGTCTTATATGGCTGCTCCTCATACTGAGCCAAATTCTAGCCGGGCCATAAATTAGTAGGTCGCTGCCTTAACAGGCCTGACTCTTAGGCTGCTGACAAACTGGAGTAGGCCGCTGTCTTTGAAAGACTGGCTCTAAGGCTGAACAAACTGGCCACTGTCTTGGTGCACTTGAATACTTCTCCCAAGTGTGCTAAGATCCTGGTGGATCATCGACTCTATTAGCTACAGCCTACAGACCTACCGTACTAAAATATGTTGGGCCTTCTAAAGGGGATTTTTTTGAACATTAATCGATTAAGGCCAACCGAATTAGTCCAAGTGCATGGGTTTCGTGGGTGGGCAATGGACATATTGAAATACCAGCAGAAGGGTTACAGCAACTCTTTTGTCGTCTTTCTCACTTTGTATCTTTCAAAACTCTGACTCTCTCTCTCTCTCTT